AGTTAAATAAGTAGTTTTTGAGTTAAGTATAACTAATTGGCACCTTGAGTGAGTCTACTGTTCTTTTCATTCTATGCTTCACTCCTAATCTAAAATAGCTTGACAATTATTTTGACACTAGTTCTGAGTCCTATAAAGTCGCTAAATAATTGTTATCTCATTACCAATAAAATAACTGTTACCAATAATAATCTTTAAACTATTTCAACGATTCCAATTAAAAACTTATTGCCTACACCCTGCTCTGAATTATTGTACCTGAAAGCTAGCCAGCGCTGGTCCGAATTACCTTCCGGAATCACGCAGCGTGTACGGAACTAGCCGTGGGCCGATATCAGCCAGAACGCGGAGAACCCGCTGGCCCTTTCGCCTCCCATTTCATCCCCATTAATAACAACGCGTACACCCTGGCAGGCAATGGAAAAGGAGGATTGGGGGGGGGGGAGCGGAAAGACGCGTCCTAATTACTAATGCGCGTACAACCGTGTGCACACATTCGCAAATGATCGTATGGAGTAAACCTCGGGGGCTCTGGTCCCCGGGGTGCTCCATGATGTTTGACCCACGCCACGCATTTCCACCCACCCGAACCACCCCTTCCCCCCTTCTCTCATACTCCTACTGGCCGTGTTTACACGGGCTAATGAATTTCATACATAATTACCAGTCGTGGCCATTGCCAACCGATGTTTGCCTCTGCTAAGAATGTAATTGTACTTCCTTATTTTTTTTTTTACTATTTCGCAATGATGGATTCTCGACTCGTGACATCAGATTTTTATTTAGTTTGTAGAATTTCTGTAGAATACATCGTTTATGACTCAGTCGTGTAGATTATGTCGAAAACCATGTTTTTCCATCAGTTTATGTAATATATTAACACAATAAGCTATCATATAAAATTTAATATACTACCACATATATACATTATTATATACTACCATATGCATATTATATTATTTTAGTTTAAGTATCAGAGAAAATTTATAAATATATTATATTTATATATATATATTTTCTTGAAAAATGAACAATTTTTCATGACATCTAATTTAGGTAAGAACTACCTTAATTAAATATGCTGGTGCGTTTCTGTTTCAGTCGCTGGAGGGGCAGAACATTTACAACTCGTGTTGCACGCTGCGCATCGACTATAGCAAAATGCAGAACTTGAACGTGAAGTACAACAACGACAAGTCGAGGGACTACACCAATCCGTCGTTGCCGACAGGAGACGCGAACCTGGACGCTGCCTCCCTCGCCCTGGGAGGCGAGCTCCTTCCACAATTGCTCATGGGCGCCGGTTCCCAGCCACGTGCCAGAATACCCGGTGAGTACCTAAATTTTTAATAAATCAACAATAATTGTCGTGAAAATACTTTCGTAGATTTTCCATTTCGGAGGTTTCGCTGTTTCACTGCGAAATCGTATAGTCGGGTTTCGAAGATCGCTCGATTATTGGAATTCTGCGCGCAGCGGAATCAATCGTAATTAATTAATTAATTGTAATTATCGCCCCGGACGGAGTGACTCAATTTGCCACGGCCATTTTCCAATTTCCCGGCAGCTCGTTTTCGACTTCATTTTCGACTCGTATCGCTTTCCAGCGACACCGGGACAGTTGGAAATTAATTAATTGCGACGCGACACGAAACCCGATCGATTTGACCAGACGTTTTCGATTCTATTTTGCTTCCCCTCCTCTTTTGTTTTTTTTTTATCCAAACGATCTTGTTTATTTTTACCTGACTTGACACAAAAGGGTTTTCAGCTTTTCGTATAAAACAGGTTTTTTTTTTCAAACATCACAAAACAGTTTACACGTTCAATGAAAATAAAATGCAATGTACACGATTTCATGAAAACTGAACAAGTCTCTGCTCATTTAATTAGGATGAAATCTAGTCAATTTTATTGATAATTTTTTTTTTTATGTATAACAGAAAATATTGAAATATTTATTAATCTCAATTAAATATAAAATTATCGTACGTTTTCATTTGGATTCTGAATAGAATTAAATTTAATAAATTCTCGTAGCAGTAATTAGCAATCCTAATTATCTGGTCAGCGGACTGCACTAACCCCCTGGCAGAAAGTTTTTAACCAATCCAATAACGTAGAGTGAAAACTCTTAATAGAGACACTTGAAACATGAATCAAATCTCATTCACATATTTTATTACATTTCTACGAATTTCAATATCAGATTTTATGCATTTATTCAAATATATGATACGAAATAATGTGAAAGGATACATATTATACATACATGGAGTCCCAGAAAAAGTGTTAGAACCGAAAAGAGGTAATTTTGGAATTGTGAACAACAATTTCCTTTGGTAAAATGTAAAGCGAGCCATAGTTTCTGAATTATTAACAAAAAACACTGACCAATGGGAGCACGCGTAGGCCGCGCTTAGCCAATAGAGTGTCGGCTCGAATCGTGACGCTCGGCCGTGACTGAGTTTGAGCCCTACAAAGTGTTTTTCATTAATAATTTAAAAACCATGGCTCACTTTGCATTTTGGCAAAAGAAATTGTTGTTCAGAAACACCCACAGAATCACTAATTTTCGGTACTAATATTTTTTCTGGGAGACTCTGTATTTGGAGGAAATCTTATTTTAAGTTCATTCCTAAAATTGCAATAATT